AGATACGAGATAGCCTAAACGCTAACTGAACCGGCATGCACTGCACATTATTCTTCGCATTGCAAAATGACATACGCATGCGTCAGGAATCTGTTCGAACAAACTTCACCTGCCCTCCGGGTCAGCGATTTTAAAAAGATGGCAACATTAGCACGGAATTTTTCATTACTTATTCTGTGACGAAACTGAACTTTAGTCTTTTAAATTGAGATAGCTAAATAAGGGGACTTCGAAATTTTCCTTTGCTCCAGGCGACTGACACCCACGCTACGCCACTGTGCAGAGTGCACCGTTTTAATGACTTTTGCCTCTTCCTATTTTACAACCGCTCCTTCGGTCTGTGCCACAATCGCTAATATTGTGTTGTTGTGCCCCTTGTCAACATTGTATCTATGTTCTCGCAGGTGTACCATCAGGTTTCTTCTAGTAACACCCACATAATCTTTCCCAATTCTTAACTGTTGATTTTCAAATAGTATTTTATATACCCCAGCTTTCTCTTCTTTTTTTTACGCTATCTTTATCGTTCCGTAGCAAGCTATAGATATTGGGTGCTCTTTTTTTTTATAAAAACTCGAGAATGGTCTATAAAAGAGCACTCAATATCTATAGCATACTAAGGAACGATAAAGACAGCGTAAGAAAGGAAGAGAGAGCTGGAGTTTATAAAATACCATTTGAGAACCAATAGTTAGGTGTCGCAAAGGATTATGTGGGTGTGACCAGAAGAAACCTAGCAATACGTCTGCGAGAACACAAATACAACGTTTATAAAGGGCACAACAACACAATATTAGCGATTATGGCGCAGACCGAAGGAGCGGTTGTAAAATAGAAAGAGGCAAAAGTCATTAAAACGCATCCATTGCATTGGAGATGGAAAAGGTGGAAATTTATAAAAGTAAAATGCCTAACTAGTTGCCTAAATACTAGGGATGCTAATGCGCTTCCAACAGCATGGAAATATATAATAGAAAAAAGAATGGGACTTAAAAACCCTTAAATCATGTTTCTTTCTAGTTAGCTTTGTTTTCTATGTTTTATTTGTTTATTTACTATACACACTTCTTTCAATTTATTTTAAAGTTAAATTATTTTTCTTTAATTTTAAATATGTAAAATATTCAAAAACAGTACATTCCATTTTGAAACATTTATAATATTAAACCTGACGATGGCCTATATTAGATAGGTTGAAAACATTTGTAAAAATAAAAGACAAATAATTTAAAATAAAAGATCAGCAAAATTAGATGTTGCTGAAACTGAAGTGAANTTAAAATTTATTTTAAAGTTAAATTAAAAAAAAAAATTTAAATATGTAAAATATTCAAAAAGATACGTTTCATTTTGGAACATTTATAATATTAAACCTGACGATGGTCTCTATATTAGATAAGTTGAAAACGTTTGTAAAAATAAAAAAATAAATTTTAAGCTCAGCAAAATTAGGTGTTGGTGAAACTGAAATGAATTAGTTGCTAAGAGGTGGATAGATATGAAGTTATGTTTTAGCATTTCCTCTCGTTATAAGACATGTTTTTCGATCACCCACATATTCTAAAATGTCACAAAGTGTAATCATCATGATTTAAATAACTACGAAATCAACTGGGATTAATGTCGGACACAAATGCAGATAAAACGTTTTGACTACAGAGAGAAAAGATATTAAAAAGACAACACACACATGTAACTCTCTTATGTTGCCACGTACGCTATACCTTTTGTGGCAGTCATTTTGGTCGGCTCATACTCCACCTATATTTACTGGCACAAGCGAATAGTATCGATAAATCTGACATGCAATTTAATGAGTGCTAATCAGCTTACATATTATTAATTGTTTAAGGTTTAGATCGGCGTCGAGTGACTACGTTATGAATTAATAAACGAATATAACGCAACTAATTAATGAATAATTTAATATTTGATGCTTACCAACTTTAACTTGCGGCGATAAGAACAAACAACAAAAACAACATGGCGAACTGCGGCAACAACAGCGCCGCCACTAATTTAAACAAAATGAGACCTTACAATTGATTTACCACAAGAATATGAACACCTAATATTGCATTTGGAATAACAAGAAGAGAATCTTCATTTCAGACGTTAAAAGTCGTCTCATTATTGCAGAAAACAAGATTTTGCGACTAAAGAAGGAATCCAACAGTGCGGATGAAAACCATGCTTTGCTATTGCTGCAGAAGTCTATCGAGGGGAAAAAACTAAACCGAAATAAAATAATTTCGAACAAATATAGTAGACCCCTATAACACGGGTTCCTATAGTTTGGATTCCTATATCACGGCGAAAAAAATTCCGACAGTATTCGTACAAACAAGATAAAAACACTACTATAATTCGGTAAAACGTCATCGCCGACTCGTGTCGCAACAGGATTGGTCGAATCTAGACCAATAGCGGATATTGCACAAACCGCTGAGTTTAAACGAGCAGCTGATTTACTAAAAACCGTTTATGATTTAACGTCCATAAAAATTATATTTATATTAATGATGTCTCCAAAGTTCAGCAAATTTTTCGCAGAAAAATAATTTATCAGGAAACACGCGCCCGCCGTTCGATGCGCCGCTCCACGACGAAACCAAGCTTAAGCAATAGCGCCGTCGAACGGTGCACACTCGGTAAGTAATCCTACAATTTTTTGTTTATAGCATAGTTTATATGGATTATTCCCAAAAAATTATACGTATTTTGGAAATGTTGAGTCGAATTAGACTAGAATCTATTCATTTTATGGAAGAAACCTTTCAAGCAGCCGTAGTCCGTAAACTGCATACGTGCCGGGCTGTGATTGGCTGGACTCGTAGAAAATGGATTCATAAAAACCGGAACAAATCTACCGTGTTATGGGGGGTCGACTGTACAATTAAAATAATCGAAATCACGAAGTTAACAAAGAAATAGTTGTGTTTATATGTTTTATTTGCGGAGAAATTGGACCTACTGCAAAGGATTGTTTATTGAATCAAGAAGCAGAACCTGAATTGCCGAATTCTCAAGTGTCCTTCCAGTGTGAAGTCCCTCATATGACGACACACTCGAACACTTATACAACCACAGAAGTTGAAAACGATGTAAAATCAAGAACTATGTCTACTAAAGTTTTCCACAAGGCACAAATGGTCAAAGCTGATGAAGTCGCTTGTGATGTTAAAAATACTGAAACGATTTGGATAGCAGATGATGCTACTACCATCATATGTCTATATTTTGAAAGAAATTTGCTTAAATTGAAGGACATTCGATTACAGTTGAAATCGCAAACAATGAGATAGTCAAAATGAATGGTAAATGAAATATACCAGTCGAACTCTCAGAAGAAAATGGTGGTCAGAAATTCAATATAGAAGCTTCTCTTTGTGTTCTATCACTCAAAATAAATTTGAAATTTGCTTTCAATTGGAAGACTCGACAACAAACAGTTTTATACAGGTTATGGTAGAGGAAAGATAACCGTTACTGACCAAGATGGAGAGACGATAATCACTACTGCAAGGAAAGACAGACTGTACTACATTCATGAAAAGAAAATTGCAAAAATTTTTGTTTGTGAAATACAAGAAGGAACAGAAGAAATAGTATCATGGTATCAAAAAATGGGCCATTTAAATATGGAAACGTTAAACAAAATATAAAATTTTAAGATAAAAAATGCTGACAAAAATATTTGCGAAGTCTGCTTACAAGCGAAGATGAAAACCAAGACATTTAGTAAAGATAACTCAACGAGAGCTACACGAATTGGTTCATTCTGATGTGGAAAATTGCAATTTTCATCGTTAGAAGGAGAAACGTATTTCGTTAAATTCATTCAGGATATTTTCGTTACATCAAAGTTTATATTTTGAAGACAAAGAATGAAGTCTTCGAACAATTCGATGCATTTAGAAGTGCGGAGGATGAATTAAACGTTAGACTTAAAATCTTAAGCGCTAATGGAGAAGAATGCGTTTCAAACTAATAAGAAGTTTATTTTAAAAGACATGCTATCCATCCCTAATATACTGTACAATATATGCCGCAGCAGAATGATGTTGCTGAACGACGTTGTTATGCATGACTCGGTGTTTGATGATTACCTGTATTAGAATACTGGTATCCCTTGATTAACGCAGTTAATTAATCTCTCGATGCTATCGCGTATATCAAAATCGCGTTAATCAAATACAGCGGTATCTCGATATTCGACCAATCACCGCCAGTTAGAACAAATTTTCTGTTAATAACAAATATTTTTATTTTAATAAACGAAAATAGCAAATCACTATCACCTTATTTGCTGGAAAAAAAACATATCTATGTTAAGTAAAGACAGCTGTTAATTAAATCCACGTTAATTAAAACTTTTGCCACGTATAAAAAAGGGATTGCCACAATTAATTTCGCGCGTTAATCAAGGATACCTGTAGGCCTATATTTAAAAAATGGTTTTGCATTAACTTTAAATTTTGAACCGAAATCGAAACTAGAACTCTTCGCTCAATTCTTTGTTTTACTTATAATTTGCGTTATTATTAGTACATATTTATAATTACTGTTACAATTAGTATAGTTTTCTGCATACTAGTCAAATTTGTTTTCTGTTTTACAGTTTACAGTGCATCCTTATGTTTATATTATGGTTAAACCAAAGGCAAGCTTAGAAGCTAAACGTAGGGAATATGTGGCAGAGTTCGGAGTAAATATATTTTCCACTATAATGAGGTGCTTCTATGTTCACCCTATAACAAGGCCATTTCGTGCGAGAAACGGTCACAAGTTACTCAGCACCTTTCTACAGATTCTCACCTGGCAGATTATACCGAAAAAACAGGAAAACAACTTTAAATGTTGACAGAAATAAACTGGAACCATCAAAGTCTCTATTTTTAGACTAGTTATGTGCCCTGTGATTAGTGCTAATATAATCCTTTCATAAAGAACAAAAATTTAAAAGTTTCACAGATTAATACTGTGGAGTAAAAATACCTCATTTCAAATTGGCCGATGGTATTTTACATTTTAAATAAAATACCGTTTTCTTTTTTTGGTTTTATTTTAAATAAAATAAAAACAAAAATATAAAAGATACAAATGTCTTCAGATATCCGTCATTAACACGATGAACTATTTGTTTGTTTTTTTAGCAATGACAATGTCATCAGAGAACGTTTTAACCTATTTTCATTATTTCAGAGATATAGCCTCCATAAAAAGGTCGTCTCTGCAGATGAATGTTGTTTGTCGTTGGTAATTGTGAAGACATATATCCGAGGACATTTTGTATCTTTTATATTTTTGTATTTTATTAAAAAAGTAAAAAATATCTGATGAATTCACTTTAAGAAAGTATTACTTGGGATGTCTGACAGATTCATTGAATCAGTTCAAGACATGTTAAAAGAAACTGTTTTGTTAAATGTCGATGATACCACCGACTTTATTGGAAGGTTTGTAGTAAACGTCATTGTCGGAGCACTAGATTCAGCATTTAGTACTGAGGAGGCAGATGAATTTTTAATTCATGCAGCATTTGTTGAGTAAACTAATCTCTCAACAAGTGCCAAAACAGTTAATGACACAATATATATTTTATGGCCAGCGGGGTCCAATAATGAAAGAGTTCTTCTTTTTTGTAACAGATGCAGTTTATGGTGAAAGTGGGAGGGGAGGTGAATGTTTGTTATTCGAAAATGCTTTATATTATATGCATTGACAAGCATTAAATTGTGTTTGTGAAAAAGTTTATGAAAGTTTTCAAACATTAATAAATTAATGTTAAGTATGGAAAGGACTTTTATGAAGGCGCATCAAGAAGACAAGGCTTTTTTACAGTAACTGCCAAATCCCATTGCCTCCCGAACCTGGATAAATGTTACCTGTTAGTATGCTAATAATTACGAAGGCAAAAGAGAATCATTTCGAACTTCGACCCGGATGATGCAGTGAGTATAGAAAATACTCAGAGTTGTTTTAGAGTAAGAGCTATTGATCGTGAATTAACTTTTAAGAAAACAAATTTTAATTTTTTAAAATGCTATAGTAACATCGGAAGAAAGGATGCCGATGTGTACTGTTATCAGTTTGATTGAAAGCGTTGAAGAGAGACTTGGCGAAATTCAAGGAACAATAGCTAAAAAGATAGACGAAAAATTCAAATTTTTCAAAGTAAAAACAAAGGAGGGAAAGAAATTATGGAGCTAGCCAAAACCTTAAAAATTGAAAAAGGAGACTACTCTTTTCCTTTTACCTTTGGAAGTAGTTTCATTCGTTTTCGCTCCTATTATTTCATGTGACGTCAAAAGAAGTTTTTCGTGATATGCAGCGCTATCGTGCAGAACAGAATAAACCTTAGAACTGAGAACTTGAAGAATCTTTGCTATGCATTGCAAGCTGAAAAAATTATATTCTAATTATATTCTATGTCACCGATTTTGTAANAAAGCGAAAATATAGGATTACTTTCGTACTTTTAATGAGAAAGATAACGAAAAGTATATATCATTAATGCATTTATCGAAGTGATAAATGTTTATCAAATTATTTTAATTAAGAAAAAATTACTTTTCTGTAAAATTAGACGGAAAATTTGTTAAAAGATAAAATTAATGAGGTCATTTTATGTAAAAAAAAATCAAATAAACCCTAAAATATGTCAAATTTTTTTAGAATATTTTATGTTCAACTTCTGGAAAATTTGTTAAAAGATAAAATTAATGAGGTCATTTTATGTAAAAAAAAATCAAATAAACCCTAAAAGCTCATAAATTTTTTTAGAATATTTTCATGTTTTTAGGGAATATTTTAAGCCTTATAGAAAATATTATAAACACATATTTTCGATTTTTTAAGAGCTTAATTTTTCGCGCTATATGCATTATAAATCTACTGAAGGAATTTTGATCGAGGATATAATCCTGGCGTGGAAAATGAAAGCACGAAGGGACGAGAAGGAGCAATTCCTTTTGGTTTGTTTGGGGATAATGATAACAATTACGATGAAGATCGGACATTGTTACCGCTTGATATTCCCGAAATAGGACTGAGGCGATTCGAACGTATAACTTAGCTAGTAAAAAGGATATAAATTTGCCAGCAAATTCAGGCAAATCAAGTGCTGATTCCGAACAATTAAAGAAGTATTTTCAGCGCTTGATAAGAAATATTTCATCGATGCGATGAAAGAATAAATTAGTAATATGGAAAGAAATGAAACATGTATTTTGGTCAAACGTCAACGCCTCGTA